ACCCACCCCCACAGAAACCACCAATAGTTCCTTATCAAGTCCCCCCACTTCCCTATCCCCAATGTACCCCCCCAGACCACAGTGTTAGAAAAGAACTTGAATGCAGATGGAGTAACAAATAAGTGTGACGAGTGGCATGAAAGAATCAAGGAGACATCCCCCAGACATAATAGCACTCACAGAAACAAACTCACCAGGATGATAATATGTAAAGTAAAAGGACACAAGTGCAACTAATGTGACATTTATTGTGGCAACGTTTCGCTCTCCAGGAGCTTTATCAAGCCATTACAAACAATACATGGACACAGAGGGTATATAAAGGTAAGTAATAGCTTTTATATCCTTTTACTCTTGTACGAATTAATTGCTCTATCATATTGTATTACTTTCGTCACTACCACTACTACTACTACAACTACTACTACCACTAGTGAACATCAAAATGGTACCTCACTAGTATTGCACCTCACTCTGAGCCTTTATATACCCTCTGTGTCCATGTATTGTTTGTAATGGCTTGATAAAGCTCCTGGAGAGCGAAACGTTGCCACAATAAATGTCATATTAGTTGCACTTGTGTCCTTTTACTTTACATATTGTCGGTAATTCTACCAACTTTTTTACAGGATGATAATAGATGCAATCTTTCACACCGGATATCAAATCCTCAGGAAAGACAGAGGGAGGAGAGGGGGGAGTAGGAGTTGCACTGCTCGTTAAAAACCAGTGGGGTTTTGAGAAAATGGAAGGAATGGATGACATGGGCGAAAGGGACTACTTAGTAGGAACAATCCAGAGAGAGAAGTCAGGATGATCCAGCAAGACTGGACCTTGTATTCACCTTGAGTAGTTCAGACATCTAGGATATCATGTATGAAAGGCCCCTAGGAGCTAGTGATCATGTGATTCTGTGCTTTGACTACATAGTTGAGCTACAAGTGGAGAGAGCAGCAGGAATAGAGCAGCAGGCCCACATAACAGGAAAGGCACTGCAATGGATCAGAGAATACCTGACTGGGAGGCAACAACTAGTCATGGTACATGACGAGGTGTCAGAGTGGGTGCATGTGACAAGCGGGGTTCCCCAAGGGTCAGTCCTAGGACCTGTGCTGTTCTTGGTATATGTGACATAACGGAAGGGATAGACTCAGAAGTGTCCTTGTTTGCAGATGATGTGAAGTTAATGAGGAGAATCAAATCGGTCGAGGATCAGGCAGGACTACAAAGAGACCTGGACAGGCTACAAGCCTGGTCCAACAACTGGCTCCTTGAGTTTAACCCTGCCAAATGCAAAGTCGTGAAGATTGGGGAAGGGTAAAGAAGACCACAGACACAGTATAGTCTAGGTGGCCAAAGACTGCAAACCTCACTCAAGGAAAAAGATCTTGAGGTGAGTATAACACCGAGCACATCTCCTGAGGCGCACATCAATCAGATAACTGCTGCAGCATACGGGCGTCTGGCAAACCTAAGGATAGCGTTCCGATACCTCAGTAAGGAATCGTTCAAGACTCTGTACACCATTTACGTCAGGGCCATACTGGAGTATGCAGCACCAGTTTGGAATCCACACCTGGTCAAGCACGTCAAGAAATTAGAGAAAGTGCAAAAGTTTGCAACAAGACTAGTCAGAGAGCTACGAAGAAAGGTTAATAAGGGAAATCGGCCTGACGACACTGGAGGACAGGAGGGTCAGGGGAGACATGATAACGACATATAAAATACTGAGTGGAATAGACAAGGTGGACAAAGACGGGATGTTCCAGAGATGGGACACAGAAACAAGGGGTCACAATTGGAAGTTGAAGACTCAGATGAATCAAAGGGATGTTAGGAAGTATTTCTTCAGTCATAGAGTTGTCAGGCAGTGGAACAGCCTACAAAGTGACGTAGTGGAGGCGGGAACCATACATAATTTTAAGACGAGGTTTGATAAAGCTCGCGAGGAAGGGAGAGAGAGGACCTAGTAGCAATCAGTGAAGAGGCGGGGCCAGGAGCTATGAGTCGACCCCTGCAATCACAAATAGGTGAGTACACACATTTATTTATCATGTAATATGGGAGAGGGAAAGATGAGTCACGGCGTCTTTAGAAAAACAGGATGTGATATCCACTCCCTAGTAAAGCGAGAACTTAGCAGAAAGTTACTGTCAGTTCTTATTCAGCTGTGGAACATGACCCTGTAAGGGAATTTTCTGTGCCTTGTAGGAGTTACATGATACCAGATATAAGAAATATAACAGTGTTTGTGTGGCGTAGTTGTGTCCAGACAACTACGAATATGAAGTGCTGATACCAGAGATTTTGAGTAAATTGGACCTTCTTGTACCACCGACAAATTAATTAACATTTCTGTTTCTGGTTAATAAAAAGCTTGCTGGAAAAAAATCATGGATCTGTGGACTTTGTTGGTGGTGTCGGCAGCAACCTTCTGTTTAGGACACTGTAACTGGCCACCAGGTGAGTCTTGTGTCAGATATTTGCTAACATTAAACTTCACAGACATAACGGATGAAATTTACAGAGAAAAATATATAATTATTATTATTATCAAAACTGAGCGCTAAACCCACGAGCGTCTTACTGAGAAAAATAGAACACCAGCTTGTTTCTCTCATCTTCTGTTTCTGCAGACGAGGTTACTGTATATTAGTATAGCAAAATAATTTTCTCCTTGTTCCTTTGTGCATCACGGCCATCATAACAAGTTCCTGATCTAAAATATGTCGTATGACTAGTTTCTTTGACCAGATAAGCTGACCCACCACACTAGCACCATATTATAGTGATGATGACCAATAATCAAATTTTGAACCACTACTACACGTCTCAGTCAAATGGCTGCCTTGGGTAGTCAAGCAATTATCGTAAGGGTTTCAGTAACTATTGCAAGAGATCTTGTTTAATGTTACTTTACTCCACGCACTACAGGCTGGACCTTGTACTGTGTTAGTTAAATCATTCCCAAAAAGCTGTACGTTGAATCTTGTGTCCACAGCATCACAGGGAAGCCTGTGTCAGTAATTTGCCAGTACTTTTTGGAAAAATTAACTGCCATAATTGCATTTATCTCAACTAATATAAGTAATTTCGTTTAGAAAGCGTCATCTCTTCAAACCATTTCTTGCTGTTCTTAATAATCTTGTTCTCTCTATAATGTTAAAAGCTAAATGGGAATCTAATTCAGTACATCGTTTCTTCACAATTTATATTCATTACTCCGTGACTGGCTTCTCATTTTCCACCTAACACATGCATATTAACAGTGGCATAAGCATTCTTTAGTTTTCCTACCATGCGCAAGTTGTTAAAGAATTATTCTCACGTAATTCTTTCTTCCAAACCTTCTCCATCTATAATCCCCAATTTCTTTACTGCCAGATTTCTGTTCTTTATAGTTTCATTCAGTTGACTCTCAGGTTCATAAATCTTGTCTGCTGTCATATTAGCGCTTCCTTCCCTCTAGATTAACTTATCCTCTGTAAAGTTCTCTAGCATGTCTTCAACATATGTATGATGAATATCTAAAAACAGCCTTCGTGCTCTGGCTGATAAATTTGCATTTCATTAAATTAATATATCTTCTCCCACCGATACTTCTGGTGTTTACTCTTTTTCTTGCTTCATGTACACTACAGTTCCGATATGCTCCTTTTGTGATGGACTCTTTCCCTGACAGCGAGCATAAAAAATGGAATGCTGATAACAAGATGTGTTTGAATGCTGATAACAAGATGTGTTCGGAATGCTGATAACAAGATGTGTTCGGAATGCTGATAACAAGATGTGTTTGAACAAGACAAAGACTGTGAAACTTAGAAGACACATCAGTAGGTTGAGCAGAGGCTCAGGCTGTACGATGCTTATGTTTTCCAACTTGACAGAAACAAATGAGATATTAGAGCTAGCAAAGCAGTCATCCTCAGAGGAAAAAAAATAGAAACGTACAATGAATTATAGATACGACCAAAGGCAAATAGAATAATAACAAAAATATAGTACCGAAATTGGCCGCTCATAGGGAAACACAGACGTCAGAGAGTTCCACAGACATCACAAAGAAGGTTAACCCATAAAATATTTTTTTAATGTACAGTTGCCTTTACCAGTAAATAGATAAACGCTAATATCTTACGGACACACGTGGTTTCAACGTATCTTACGTCTCTTTACTTCTATCATTCTATCACTCACAAATTATTATTACTTGGAGTTTACCTGGAGAGAGTTTCGGGGGTCAACGCCCCCGCGGCCCGGTCTGTGACCAGGCCTCCTGGTGGATCAGCGCCTGATCAAAACCCGGGTGTTGCTGCTGCTGCACGCAAACCAACTACACCACAGCCCGGCTGAACAGGGAAATGACTTAGGTGCTTGTCCCTGCCACTTCAAACTGCCAGGGGTCTGTTGGAATCCCCCTTATTTCGAGGGAGTTGAACAGTCCGGGGGCCCCTGACACTTATTGTATGGTCCTTAACGTCTAATGCACCCCTTTTTTTCTTGGGGGATGGGCCGTCTGCCAAGTCTTTTGCTTTCGTATGAGTGATTTTCGTGTGCAATTTCGGTACTATCCCTCTAGGTTTTTCCCCAGTGTATATAACATGTATCTCTCCCCCGTGTTCCAGGGAATACGGGTTCAGGAACCTCAAGCGCTCCCAGAAATTGAGGTTTTTTTATTCCCTTTATCGCGCCGGAAAGTTCTCTTACATTTTCTAGGTCGGAAATTTTCACCTGCCTTAAAAGGGTGCGTTAAGTGCAGCAATTTCCAGCCTAATAAACAAGGACCTGAAATGTCACAGGGGCTTGGCCCCCCCTATTTTTTAAAGGGTTTTCTCTTACCATCCTGTCTTTTTTCTAGCAGATGCATTAAATAAAAATTTTATGGTCCTTGTAGTGAGATCCTCCGACAAATCACTCCCAGGTCTTTGACGTTGGTTTTCGCTTATTTTGGGGCCAGAATTTGGTACCTGATGAAGTTTTAAATTTCCTCTTTTAACCAATCTGAGTAATTAAAATTTTTCTCATCGTTAAACTTATAGTTTTCTGCAGCCCACTGAAAGATTTGGTTGATGTCCGCCTGGACCCTTGCAGGTCGCAATGGAAACACTGCATGCGATTCGGTGTCATTGAAAAGGGAAGACAGGGTGCTGTGGCGACATCCTTCTATGTGGGATATGGGATGAGGAACAAGAGGGAGCTAGTACGTGCCTTGGGGAACAGACTTTACCGACTCCTGGGATTTTACTCTGTTGACGACTACCCTTTTCTTTAGTGAGGAAATTATAGACCCATCGCCCGACTTTCCGTTATTGCTTTAGCGCCATTTTTGCGCTATTAGGGGCCATGGCACACTTACAAAGGGCTTTTGCAAAGTCTGTTATATTACATTCATTCTTTTGTCTCTAGTGCATTTAGGACTTGTCGAGGATCCAATTTTTAGACAGACAGAGCGACCCGTTTTTAAAACCCCTGTTGCCCCGGGTTTTTGTAACCCGTGGGTTTTTTAGATGGGGGGTATCTTTCTTTTTAACCCTTTTAAAGATTTTTTATGATATGGGGTGTTAGTGCTATTGGGCTTATTCTTTTCTTTCTTTTACTGCCCCCTTGTGGATGGGGGTATTTGTTGTTTTTTTTAACTGAGGGACGACCCCCGTGTCCATGCTCCCTCTCCCTAGGGTGGGAAAAGGGTCGTGATAGGGGCCCTTTTGCATTCTTGATGAACACGGGGTTCCAAAGAGTCTGGCCCTGGGGCAGAGGCATGGCATGCATTTACGCCTGTTGAATCATTTGGCGGGATAAAAACGATAGGCTTGTGTTAATCAAATTTTTTGGGTTTCCCTCATAAAAAATTCATTTTGATCTTCGACTCTCAGCTGGTTGCGGTTGCTAAAAAATGAGTCATATTGGGACTTGAGTACCCCTCATTTCCTTGCGTCACTGTGTAGGACCCATCTTGTTTAAATAGGGGCCCAAACTGGGGTGTTTTCGATTTTTATTTGGCATAGGAGAAAAAATATTTGGGTTTTTTTCGATTCATTTAAACTTTTAGTTCTTTCCCCCCGATTCCTGACCCCTAAGATTTTTTTAAACTTAAGTTCGATGCTTGCATTTTTTCTGACCAGTGGCTCCCTGCGCATTTCAGAATATTTACCTCTTTTTGGGCCCCTCTGTTATTTTTTTCCGTCGCCTTAAAGGGAGCGCCTGTCTCTTTCTATTTTACATCTACTCCTCCTTTTTCTTAGAGGAATAAGCCTTGTGCATACATCGAGTGCCACCGAGTTAATCTGTTCTAGGCATAAGTTTGGGTCTGTGTTGCTTAGTATATCTTCCCAGCTTATATCGGTTAGGCGACTTCTGGCACCTTCCTCTATAGGCTTATCACTTCATTTACAAATTCACCTGTTTTCAAATGACACTTTAGCCTTTATCATCAATATACTAGGGACCCAAACTGTAGTATACACTATACACTATGTATACTCAATGTTATCAGGGAGACTTTCTTTCCTCTGATATGAAAAGTTCAATTATTATTATTTTTTTCCACACGGGACACAGGCCTATGATTCCCCTCTGGCAGTAAACTCTGCTACGCAGTGCACACTAATTCTCCTTTTTTGACTCAGTATATAATGTTTTCCGCCCAAGATTGGTTCCAGGCGCTAGAGGGATGTATCGTATAGGATTGATGACACAAATTAAAGTTCTAGCACGTAAGAGCGACCGTGAAAACACGAGAAAACCCGGAGCACAACGAGGCACGCTGACACGCTGGCACGCTGGCAGAAGAATACGAAACTTTTAAAAGATTCTCTTCCTAATCTTCGGTTGCCTGTGAATTGTCCAATCTTACAGTATTGTGTGTATGTGATCACTTAATTGTGGTTGAAGGGGTCGAGACTCAGCTCCTGGCCCCGCCTCTTCATTGAGTGCTACTAGGTCCTCTCTCTCCCTGCTCCATGAGCTTTATCATACCTCATCTTAAAGCTATGTATGGTTCCTGCCTCCACTTCTTTACTTGCACTTCCACTTCCTGACTACTCTGTGACAAGAAATACTTCCTAACATCCCTTTGATTCATCTAGGTGTGTGTGTGTGTGTTTATGTCGTGCTGAATAGGTAAAACTTGCGATTTTGGCTTAAATAGCAACGCTCTTCTTGCCAAATAAAACAAGCGAAAATTTGTGCATGCAATAATGTCGTAAAAATCTTCCTGAACCTAAGGAATAAAATCAATTTCATTGTGTTTGTTTATAATAAAATTATTGTAAATTTATCTAAAATATATTTAGTTAAATTAGGCTAAATTAAATTGTGCTTGTTATAATAAGGTTAAGTAATCTCTCTAAGTTTCTTTTGGTACAAAATTAGTTATTTTTGCATTAACATAAATGAAAAAAAAAAATCTTCAAAGGCAAAACAGAAAATTTTTAGAAAAGGCTAAATTTTAAATGAGTTCTTGTTAACTGACCAATGTTTCTTTCTTTCAGACTGTGAGGTGACACAGATGTCTGAAGAGTGGACAGAGAGACCTCTCCCCTCCGTATTTTTGCTAAGATTATTCCCTGACTCTTCAGACTGGGAACTGAACATCACTCTCTCTGGAATGTCTCAAAACTGTATACTTTCCGAGAAGTGTGTCGATAATCATCACAATGTTACTGTAACGTGTAATGGAACAACACATGCAGTTCAGAACTTTAAAGTTGGTATCAGTATGTGGAGAGAAATTCAAATTATTACTACTATTGATTCTTCTGCCATAATTTGGATTGTTTTGTCTGATTCTAAGAACCACGTAATCTCAGGGATTAACCAAGGACTGAAACAACCTATCTTTATCAAATTATCTTTCCGCGGAGATGCGGATGTCGTTATCAATTGTCCTCAAACATGTAAGTATTTTTCTTTGTCACAAAAATTCGAATGCACACACACACACACACACACACATACACACACACACACACACACACACACACACACACACACACACACACACACACACACACACACACACTACTAAAGGATCTGGACAGGTTGCAGACCTGGTCCAGCAATTGGCTCCTGGAGTTCAACCTCACCAAGTGCAAAGTCATGAAGATTGGGGAAGGGCAAAGAAGACCGCAGACGGAGTACAGTCTATGGGGGCCAGAGACTACAAACTTCACTCAAGGAAAAAGTTCTTAGGGCGAGTATAACACCAGGCACATCTACTGAGGCACACATCAACCAAATAACTGCTGCAGCATATGGGCGCCTAGCAAACCTCAAAACAGCATTCCGACATCTTAATAAGGAATCGTTCAGGACCCTGTACACCGTGTACGTTAGGCCCATATTGGAGTATGCGGCACCAGTTTGGAACCCACACCTAGCCAAGCACGTAAAGAAACTAGAGAAAGTGCAAAGGTTTGCAACAAGACTAGTCCCAGAGCTAAGAGGTATGTCCTACGAGGAGAGGTTAAGGGAAATCGACCTGACAACACTGGAGGACAGGAGAGCTAGGGGGGACATGATAACGACATACAATATACTGAGAGGAATTGACAAGGTGGACAAAGACAGGATGTTCCAGAGATGGGACACAGCAACAAGGGGACACAGTTGGAAGTTGAAGACACAGATGAATCACAGGGATGTTAGGAAGTGTTTCTTCAGCCACAGAGTAGTCAGTAAGTGGAATAGTTTGGGAAGCGATGAAGTGGAAGCAGGATCCATACATAGCTTTAAGTAGAGGTATGATAAAGCTCACGGTTCAGGGAGAGTGACCTAATGGCAACCAGTGAAAAGGCGGGGCCAGGAGCTGGGACTCGACTCTTGCAACATCAACTAGGTGAGTACACATACACACGCGCACACACACACACACACACACACACACACACACACACACACACACACACACACACACACACACACACACACACACACAAATATAGTTCCCATTTTTTAAAAATGAGACAGAAAAAAGGCACTAAACTATAGACCTGTGTCACTGACGTGAATAGTATGCAAAGTTATGGAGGAGATTATCAGGAGGAGAGTGATGGAGCACCTGGAACGGAACAAGAGTATAAATGTCAACCATCACGGATTCGTGGAAGGCAAATCCTGTGTCATAAACCTTCTGGAGTTTTATGATAAAGAAACATAAGTAAGACTCGAGAGAAAGGTGTGGGTTGATTGCATCTTCTTGGACTGCAAGAAGGCCTTTGACACAGTTACCCACAAGAGATTAATGCAGAAGCTAGAAGATCAGGTGCGTATAACAGGAAGGGCACTGCAATGGATCAGAGAATTCCTGACAGTGAGGCAACAACGAGTCATGGTACATGAGGTATCACAATGGGCACCTGTGACGAGCGGGGTCCCGCAGGGGTCGGTCCTAGTACCAGTGCTATTGATGGAAGGGTTAGACTCAGAAGTGTCCCTATTCGCAGATGATGTGAAGTTAATGAGGAGAATTAAATCAGATGAGGATCAGGCAGGACTTCAAAGAGACCTGGACAGACTGGACACCTGGTCCAGCAGCTGTCTTCTCGAATTTAACCCCGCCAAATGCAAAGTCATGAAGATCGGGGAAGGACACAGAAGACCGCAGGCAGAGTATAGGCTAAGTGGCCAAAGACTGCAAACCTCGCTCATGGAGAAAGATCTTGGGGTAAGTATAACACCGAGCATGCCTCCGGAAGCACACAACCAGATAACTGCTGCAGCATATGGGCGCCTGGCAAACCTGAGAACAGCGTTCCGATACCTTAGTAAAGAATCGTTCAAGACACTGTACACCGTGTACGTCAGGCCCATACTAGAGTATGCAGCACCTGTTTGGAACCCGCACTTGATCAAGCACGTCAAGAAATTAGAGAAAGTGCAAAGGTTTGCAACAAGGTTAGTTCCAGAGCTAAAGGGAATCTCCTATGAAGAAAGGTTAAGGGAAATCGGCCTGACGACACTGGAGGACAGGAGGGTGAGGGGAGACATGATAACGACATATAAAATACTGCTCAGAATAGACAAGGTGAAGAAAGACAGGATGTTCCAGGGAGGGGACACAGAAACAAAAGGTCACAATTGGAAGTTGAAGACTCAGATGAGTCAAAGGGATGTTAGGAAGTATTCCTTCAGTCATAGAGTTGTAAGGCAGTGGAATAGCCTAGAAAATGACGTAGTGGAGGCAGGAACCATACATAGTTTTAAGACGAGGTTTGATAAAGCTCATGGAGCGGGGAGAGAGAGGACCCAGTAGCAACCAGTGAAGAGGCGGGGCCAGGAGCTAGGACTCGACCCCTACAACCACAAATAGGTGAGTACAAATAGGTGAGTACACACACACACACACACAACACCACACACACACACACACACACACACACACACACACACACACGAGAGTGGTGGAACACCTAGAACGGAACAAGATTATAAATGAAAACCTGCATGGGTTCATGGAAGGCAAATCCTGGAGTTTTATGATAAAATAACAGAAGTAAGACACGAGAGAGAGGGATGGGTTGACTGCATTTTCCTAGACTGCAGGAAGGCCTTTGACACAGTTACTCACAAGAGATTAGTGCAGAAGCTTGAGGATCAGGCGCATATAACAGGGAGGGCACTGCAATGGATCAAGGAGTACCTGACAGGGAGGCAACAACGAGTCATGGTACGTGAAGAGGTGTCACAGTGGGCACCTGTGACGAGCGGGGTCCCACAGGGGTCAGTTCTAGGACCAGTGCTATTTTTGATATATGCGAGCGACATGATGGAAGGAATAGACCCTGAAGTGTCCCTATTCACAGATGATGTGAAGCTGATGAGAAGAATTAAATCGGATGAGGATGAGGCAGGACTGCAAAGAGTCCTGGACAGGCTGGACACGTGGTCCGAAAACTGGCTTCTCGAATTCAACCCTGCTAAATGCAAAGTCATAAAGACTGGAGAGGGGCAAAGAAGACCGCAGACAAAGTATTGACTAGGTGGACGAAGACTACAGACCTCACTCAGGGAGAAAGACCTTGGGGTGACCATAGCACCGAGCACGTCACCGGAGGCACACATCAACCAAATAACTGCTGCAGCATACGGGCGCCTGGCAAACCTGAGAATAGCGTTCCAGTACCTTAATAAGGAATCGTTCAAGACACTGTACACTGTGTATGTTAGGCCCATACTGGAGAATGCAGCACCAGTCTAGAACCCACACCTGGTCAAGCACGTCAAGAAGTTAGAGAAAGTACAAAGGTTTGCAACAAGGCTAGTCCCAGAGCTCAGGGGAATATCGTACGAGGAAAGGTTGAGGGAAATTGGACTGACGACACTGGAGGACAGAAGGGTCAGGGGCGACATGATAACGACATACAAGATACTGCGGGGAATAGACAAGGTGGACAGAGATGGGATGTTGCAGAGAGTGGACACAGAAACAAGGGGTCACAACTGGTAGCTGGGGTCCTCAATCTTGTCCCCCAGGATGCGACCCACACCAGTCGACTAACACCCAGGTACCTATTTGCTGCTAGGTGAACAGGACAATAGTGTAAGGAAACGTGTCGAAATGTTTCCACCCGCCGGGAATCGAACCCGGGCCCTCCGTGTGTGAAGTGGGAGCTTTAGCCACCAGGCCACCGGGCCCCTGGTTTACCCGACGGTGTAAGGAGGCAAAAACAAAGTGCAATAGAGAATGGAAAAAGTACAGAGGCAGAGAACACACGAAAATAGGAGATCAGTCGCAGAGCCAGGAACGAGTATGCACAGGTAAGGAGGGAGGCCCTGCGACAGTATGAAAATGACATAGCATCGAAAATCAAGACTGACCCGAAACTGTTGTATAGCCACAATAGGAGAAACACAACAGTAAAAGACCAGGTGATCAGATTAAGGACAGAAGGGAGAGAACTCACAAGAAATGACCAGGAGGTATGTGAGGAGCTAAACAGGAGATTTAAGGAAGTTTTTACAGTAGAGACAGGAAGGGCTGTGGGAAGTCAGCACAGAAGGGAACATCAAGAGGGAATATACCACCAAGTGTTGGATGACATACGAACAACCGCGGAGGAGGTGAAGAAGCTGCTAAGTGACCTTGATACCTCTAAGGCGATGGGACTGGACAACATCTCCCCATGGGTCCTTAGAGAAGGAGCAGAGATGCTGTGCGTGCCTCTAACCACAATCTTCAACACATCCCATGAAACTGGGCAACTACCTGAGAAATGGAAGACAGCAAATATAGTCCTCATATTTAAGAAAGGAAACAGAAACGAGGCGCTAAACTACAGACCTGAGTTTCTGACATGTACTGTGTGCAAAGTCATGGAGAAGATTATCAGGAGGAGAGTGGTCGAACACCTGGAACGGAACAAGATTATAAATGAAAATCAGCATGGGTTCATGGAAGGCAAATCTTGTATCAAAAACCTCCTGGAGTTTTATGACAAGGTAACAGAAGTAAGACACGAGAGAGAGAGGTGGGTTGATTGCGTTTTCCTAGACTGCAGGAAGGCCTTTGACACAGTTCCCCACAAGAGATTAGTGCAGAAGCTGGAGGATCAGGCGCATGTAACAGGGAGGGCACTGCAATGGATCAGGGAATACCTGACAGGGAGGCAGCAACGAGTCATGGTACGTGAAGAGGTATCACAGTGGGTGCCTGTGACGAGCGGGGTCCCACAGGGGGCAGTTTCTAGGGGCCCGTGCTATTTTTTATATATGCGAACGACATGATGGAAGGAATAGACTCTGAAGTGTCCCTATTTGCAGATGATGTGAAGCTGATGAGAAGAATTAAATCAAATGAGGATGAGGCAGGACTGCAAAGAGACCTGGACAGGCTGGACATGTGGTCCAGAAACTGGCTTCTCGAATTCAATCCTGCCAAATGCAAAGTCATGAAGAT